GTCAAAGGCTGCCCTCACTCAGCACCAGCCAAGTCTGTGGGGACACAGAACCCATACTAGTGGTGGGCTATCTGGCCACCAAGTGCTGCCATTGTTCCTGGGGTAGATGCAGCTGGATACCAGCACTAGTTTTACGCCAAAAAGTCCCAGTCCTGGAGAGATGGCTCAGTGGTTAAGAGCATTGCCTGCTCTTCCAAAGGTCCTGAGTTCAATTCCCAGCAACCACATGGTGGCTCACAACCATCTGTAATGATGTCTGGTGCCCTCTTCTGGCCTGCAGACATACACACAGACAGAATATTGTATACATAATAAATAAATAAATATTTAAAAAAAAAAAAAAAAAGTCCCAGTCCCAAGTTGTTTCCTACTTTCTGGGCCCTGAGAGATAAGAACAGGGCCCTGAGAGATAAGAACAGTCCCCTTGCACAAATCCAAGTGTATGGCTCCTGGACTTGCCAATGTCCTGGTGCTAGAGCCAGGTCCAGGACCTAAGGCAACAGTCCATCCTGGACGGGCAGCAGGCAGAAGCCTGGGCTGATGTGGCATGTGCTTCTACCTTGGGCCCCCTCACCACCCACTAGAATCTCCCTATGGACTCACCAGGTTAGGACTCAGCAGTGTGACTCACTTGGGCTTCCTTGAAATAATAGGCCCTGGTCTGTCTCTATCTTCAGGCACCTGGAAGACACCAGCCTGCCCATGTGGTGGAGAGAACAGATCCAGAAGCAGGAACAGAGGCCTAACCCCTGCCTTTTGTCAGACATCCCAGCCAAACTTGCACACTGGGTGGGGCCTGGGGCCCAGCTAGGGAGCAGGTGGGGAGAAGGTCTGGGAGGAGAGAATCTTGCAGGGCAGCTGGCTGTCCACTCTAACATGATGGGGCAGATATAGGCTTGGCTTGGGGCCCTGGGGTGGTGCTTTAACCCTTGATTTTCCACAACTTCCCTCTCAGCACAGGGCTCTTGTCTTCTTGGCCACTTCTGCTCCGCCCCTCTGCTTGATGCACCTTGGTGACCACCCAAGGACAAGGCATGCATACAACCAGAGAGGGGAGGGAAGAAGCCAGGCTGAGAACAACCTCATTAATATTTCAGAGACACTGTCACTGCAGCTCCCGAGTCCTCACAGTCCCACCACTTTTGCTTGTGGAGAGAGGAGGGTGGGAAAAGAGAAGGAAATAAAACCGAGAAAACAGATTTAAAGGGACAGCCACACCCCCTACTCCATTTCGTCCTTCCCCCATTCCTGGTACAATCTGTACATACTCTGCTATTGCTGCCACCGCCGCAGAATAGCTCTAAGCCCAGAACAGCTTTGGGCAAAAACAATAATAACAGAAGAGGGTCAACTGTCACCATGGTACTCCCTCCCTGCTCACTCATCCACCTGCCTCAAGTCCTGCCTTTGCAGGCAAGTCTTTCAAGGCCACCTGGAGGATGACTGGTGACTGTCAGCATAGTCATAGAGACCCTGCTCATTCTGCAGAAAGACCAATGTACACAGGAAAAGTGGAAGTCCCTGTTGAGGATCCAGCTAAGGTGTATGGATCCCAGAAAAGCCCACATTCAGAATCATGGGGTTGGTAGGGATCCAGACATTGCTTAATTTTACCCTTGCTTGTGGGTAGGTCAGTATCAAACTGATGGTCAGTCACTTTAGTCTCACTAAGGGCAGCCCAGGCAAGCAGTGAATGGACCTCCCTACCTGGAGAACTGTTTACTCCATCCAAAAGGGGGATTTGGGACCTCCACCCCATCTAACACCCCTCAAGAGCATCCCATGACCAGCCAAGTTTGTGACTACATATTTGTCTGCTTTCAGAGGTTCTGGGAGGGCCCCAAGCTCTCCAGTGAAAAGAGGCCTCGGGACAGAATGATAGATATGACAACCACAATGCAATACACCATGGCAGTTTCTGAAAAAATTCACCATCATATTACAGCAGCTTATCTCTTAAGAGTAGAAAGCAGGGACTCATGGAGACTTGTATAGCCATGTTTGCAAAAACATTACTCATTATAGCCAAAAGGTGGAAGCAGCCCAATGTCCATAGATGGATGACTGAACAGACTGTGTGTCCCTCCATTTATATATAATGGAACATCAGTCAACCTTTAAAAGGCAGGGAATTCCCACACATGCCATGCTAATGTGGTTGACGTAAAAGGACAGAGACTGTCTGGCTTCATTTCTGGGAGGTCCTGAGAGTCACTAGCCTTACAGAGACAGGCAGTAGTCAATAGGATGATGGGTGCTGAGGACTGGGGAGGAGGATGAGGAGCTGGTGTTTAGTGGGGCTGAGCTGAAGCTCGAGATAATGAGCAAGATCTGGAGATTGATGGTGCTGATGGTAGTCCAGCAGTGAGGATGTGGGGCATATTTCAAGTCTTTTGGCTCTAATGGTGATGTCCTGTTTCATGGTGTGTGTGTGTGTGTGTGTGTGTTCCATAATGCCAAAAGGAAATAAGTCCAACCAATCACGTTTCTCATTTGTATCCAAGGTGGCCTGAGCGGTTTCCTGTGGTATCCTAAGTCATACTGTCTCACCTCCTAGGCAGATCAAATCAGTGGTCCATTCTACTCACGTGGAAATGAGCTTGTATGGAGACTCCTGTCAGGAAAATGTCAACCTAAAGAGCCCCTTCTGATGTGGGAGTGTCATATATCAATCTGTTGGTTTCATTGGTTAAGTAATAAAGAAACTGCTTGGCCTCATAGGGCAGAATTTAGATAGGCGGAATAAACAGAACAGAATGCTGGGAGGAAGAGGAAGTGAGCTCAGAGGCCATGCTCCCCTCTCCCGAGCAGATGCGATGAAACTCTGACCCAGGATGGACATAGGCTAGAATCTTCCCGGTAAGCGCACCTTGGGGTGCTACACACATTAATAGAAATGGGTTAGGCAAAATATGAGAATTAGCCCGTAAGAGGCTAGAGCGAATGGGCCAAGCAGTGTTTAAATGAATACAATTTGTGTGTCGTTATTTCGGGGCATAAGGTAGCCAGGCGACCAGGAGCTGGGGCGGCAGGAACGCAGCCTGCAGCTCCTACAACACCCTTCCTCATGTGCCCTGCTCATATCTTATAGCTTCTATGTCCTCATCCCTGCGACTTGCTGCCTGCCACTACCATTATTGCCCACCTACTTGGACCACTTTTGTTTCTGTCTTTTGGTGCTGGGGGCAGACCCACTGGTCCAAGCATTCTAAACAAGTGGTCTTTCACTATCATGCTGCAAATTTCTCTCCTGCTTGGAAACAGTTGGAGCAGGCATGTAGTCCCATTCTTGGAGCTACTGGCAGAGCTGTCTTGAGAGCATCAAGCCCAGTCCATCCTCAGAAGGGACGGTCTAATCACTTGGGGGAAAAAAATCTGGCCTCAAGATGGGTGAATTCTTTATACAAAATAGGACTTTGGAAGCAGATCCTGTTGGTCAAGGCCTGTAATTCCAGGTATTTAGTGGACTGAAATGGGAGGACTGAAAGTTCAAGGTCTGACTGGGCTTTAGAATAAACTCAAGGTCAGTCTGGGTAACTTAATGGGACTTTGTCTCAAAACAAAAATAATAAAAGAAGGACTGGTGTGGTGGTTTGAAAATGGATTCCAAAGGGAGTGGCACTATTAGGAGGTGTGGTGTTGTTGGATAGGTGTGGCCTTTGGGGGGAAGTATGTCACTGTGCAGATGGGCTTTGAGGTCTCATATATGCTCAACCCACACCCAGTGTCTCAGTTCACTTCATGTTGCCTTTGTCTCAAGAGTAGAACTCTGAGCTCCTTCTCCAGCACCACACCAGCCTGTACACTGCCATGCTCCCCACCATGATGATAATGGACTAAATATCTGAAACTGTAAGCCACCCCAATTAAATGTTTTCTTTTTTTTTCTTTTTTTTCTTTTTTTTTTTTTTTTTGGTTTTTCGAGACAGGGTTTCGCTGTAGCTTTGGTGCCTGTCCTGGAACTAGCTCTTGTAGACCAGGCTGGTCTCGAATTCCCAGAGATCCGCCTGCCTCTGCCTCCCAAGTGCTGGGATTAAAGGCGTGCACCACCACCGCCCGGCAAATGTTTTCTTTTCTAAGAGTTTCTGTGGTCATGGTGTCTCTTCACAGCAATAGAAACCCTAACTAAGACATCTGGGGACACAGCTCCATAGTAGAGCTCTTACTTAGCCATCATGAGCCCTGAGTTCAACTCCTCATGCCAAAACAGCTTTGGGAGGTGCTAACGAACCCCCAGAATGTTCTGAAAGAGATTGTATAATATTTTGCTAGCTATATGTCTTGATGTCCAATTCAGTGGCTGTATTTCTGACTCCCTTTCAGCTACATATGACCATGTAACTACACTTTGGCTAATTGAATGTAAACAGAAGTGACAGGGACAACTTCAAAGTTCAAGTTGAGGTGTAAAAGAGAAGGGACATACTCTCCCCTGCTCCTCTTCTGCCTGTTAGCTAAAATGCTGGTGTGAGGGTCAGACGGTAACATTTATCTTGTGTCATCTTGCACATGGATCTATGTGTATCATATAGGAGCCCTTATAGACTAAGAAGCCATCACAGTGGACACAAGTGTGCAGTCAGGAATGGACTTCTTTGCTCACACAGCTGCTATTATTCCTGATCTTCACAAAAGAGGGTAACCCCATAACCTGAAGATATTGGAAATGCAGAGGGAAGAACTAGAGCCCCCACCTTCACTATGTGCCCAATTCAGGCCTAGATGTGGGGAATTAGGAGCCTTTCTAAGCTTTCCACTTTCATGGGATCCCTGTGTAGCACGTGAGCATCTGTAGTCTGACTCCCTCTTACCTGTGTTATTTGACACTGTCCTAGATGTTCTAGTCAAAGCAGAGAGACAAAAGGTCAGTCCTGTTACATGCAAGCCAAGACATTGTGGAAATGATTATGATTGCCCTGCACAATGAGGCTCTATGTTAAGAGATGGGGATGCCTATTGTGGAGTAGAGGCATCTAAGGAAAAGAGATTGAGGTGCTTACTTGGGGTCATATTGCCAACAAGTAGTGGAGGCTGATGTAAACTTGAGTAATTTGTCTTCAGAGGATTCTGTATCGCTCTTCTGCTGAGTGACTGCTCAGAACATCCAAGAAAGCAATGGACACCTGATTAGAACCAATTCAAAGAGTTAATAAAGTGGCTGGATAGGCAGTGTCCTTGTGAAGCTCAAGCACTGGCTGCAGTCACACAGCCTAGTTGAAAATAGGACTTCATTTGTCCTTGCTGAGTTTGGTATGCCCCCAGTGCATACCCTTCAGAGGGCTTGATCCATTGCTCTGGAGGCTTCCTCCTGACCATTAGCCCAGGGAAAATAAAGCAAGGCAAAGCTCTTTGTTCAGTCTGTTAGTTTTTCTTCACATGTATTTCCCAAACCTTCCATCTCTGCCTATCCCGAAGCTGACATCAGCCAGATCCCAGAGTTCAAAGGTCAGGACCAGGCTCCACTGCTGAAGCCAGAGGCCATCCCTAGGTCTGCTTGGATCCCACATTGCTCTGGGGTCCCTAGAATATTTTTTGTGGGATGAGTCAACATGCTCACACAAGTGGTTCTTACAGTGCTGCATGGCCCTGAGTACAAAGGAAAGTTAGAAACTCCCTTCTGGCTGGGGCCATGCAGTATAGTTACTGGGGTCATGACTCTACATGGAGAAAGGGGACAGTCATTTGTTTTCTGCCAGAGAAGGCAGAAGCTGAAAAAGGAGAGAGAGAGAGAGAGCAGGAGCTGGAGAAGCCTATGGGCAGGAAGCATAATGACACTAATTATCCAATTACAGCGAGCTGTGCGGGCAGAGAGCTGCATTGCAGCAGGAGCCAAGCCAGGTCCGCGCCCCGCCCCCGCACGCGTCTGCCACACGCAGGCCCCCACTTTCCTCCTGCCCTGAAGCACAGACAGCTGGGCAAGCCTGTGCTCTCTAGAGGGGCAAGGAGACCCGAAGTCACCATGGCTTAGCTTCTGTGAAAGCCTCCTGTCGAGGAGGCAGCAGGTTCTAATCCTCCAGCCCATCATATCCAGAAAACCCCCTGCTGGAAGGAGGGACACCCAAGTCTCCCAGCTCTGCTGGCTACTGTGGTTCCAGTCCAGTCTCAGAGTCAGCCTCACAATCGGAAATAACCAAGGCCTAAACAGGTAATTAAGGAAATTATAGACAGCTGGAAGCCATTGGGGCTACAGGCCAGGACAAGCAGGGACTAGATAAGAAGACTCCCAGGACATGCATGCGCCCTCTTGGGGACACAAGCCTCATGTGTGTGTCAGGAGGGTTGTTTCTGGAAGCAGGTTAAAGTCCTTGGGCCAACAGGCAAAGGCAAGGGTAGGAGGAATTCACTGGGGTCAAGGTCAGGAGCTGGAGGTTAGGGGTCCCAAATGCTCATAAAGTAGTCTCTTTGGGACCCTTTTGTTACTTAGCTTACTCAGCCAGAGGACCAAGCCCATGTGGAAAAGGAGTTGTAAAGAAATGGGCTTGTCACTGCGTGGAATTCTGAGGCCACAGGGGTCTCCAAACTACCTGTCTTTCTTTTGAAACATCTGTGACCATGCTATTCTTAGAAGAGGTCAAGGATACTGGGGATAGAAAACACTAGAGATGGGAAGCAACAGTCGCTGCCACCTCTCTGACTCAGCCTCAGCTGAGTTGTCCCAACTGCTGCCTATTGGCAAATACAGTAACAAAGGAAGAAAAGGCCAGTGACCCATGGTGGTCCTGAGAAAGTATACCTCAGAAACTGCAGCTGGGGGAGGGTCACCTAAAAGGCTGCTAGGCACACCTCCAACATCTTTAACAATCCCAACTGGCTGTGACAGCAGGACCTGAAGGTCACCCAGGGCCTGGCTGCCACCAGGATCACATACACTGAGCTTTGCACGGCCAAAGTCATGCAGTGTCTATGGGGTGGCCTGGGAGGGAATAGGTCCCGAAGAGGTCCCTTTACATTAGGGCACATGAGCGCTAAGTCAGGAATCCAAGTGCACTCTTCAGCAGGCCACAGAGGCCATCAGGGGCCCAAGCCAGGCCCTCCTCTAAGTTTCCCTGTAGATGCTCATGGGTAGATGCTCTATGACGCTGAGAGCTTGAAGCAGTGATAGGTAGTGAGGCTGCAAAAGGCTTCTTCTCTCTGGGAGGTAGACACAGAGTTTCTTCCACTTGTCCCCTAAGGTGACTACAATGATGCTATGGTTCTGCTTCCTCTTTGGAAGGGTAGCAGGAAACACAGGGGCCCAAGAGTTCTGACCATACCTGGACTCACATGTCCAGACATCTCAATAGACCTCCCCAGGGACCATCAGTCCAAGGATCCTAAGCAGCCACCCCAGGCGAGCCCTCTCTCCTCCCTAGACCAAAGACTAGAATGTGATGGCTATTCTTGCTCTGCTCCCCCACCCCCAGGATAAGTAGGGCCTTTTCCAAACTCATGTCCAGCCAGTATTCATTGAGCTGGAGGCCAATGAGTCATGGACCACAAGGGAGACTAGATGGTGTGAGAGAAGTGCTGAGGACAGACCTGTTCTGTCTGTGTGCCCCTTTCCTTGTTTTCTGCACTAGGCTACCATTCCTAGTGACAGTCTCCCTCCTGGAAGTCCCCAGGAATTGAGGACCCTGGACCAGCTATTCCTGGGCCGCAGTCATCCCTTCCAGACCTATGGCTCCAAGCCAAGATGTAGTGTGTCTGATCCCACATTCTTCTGGGAGAAATGCAGCTGAAGTCCATAGACATAGGCAGTCAGTTTGAGGCCTGAGATATGACACAGAACCCTTACTCTGCCATAGAAACAGAACTGTGCTCTGAAAACACCAAATGGTTTCAGCAGGGCTGGCCTATTTTGGAGCAACAGACACTTCCTTTCTCTGTTATGTCCCATGCCACCACCATCACGGCCCTGGCCATCCATCCATGCAAACTTTGGTTCAGTAGTATCGAACTAAACTCAACGTATAACCTAGGTCTGGTTTATGTCAAAATAATACTAGAGCACAAGTAATTTTGAGTTCTGGGATAGTTCAGGGACTAACAAAGGAAAAATGGGATGGCTCACTCTCAAATACTCTTTATTCAGGGAAACCAAGAGGCCAGTGGGAATTCAATGGGAATGCAATGGCCCCAGAGCCTTCTCCATCTCTCCTTTTCCTGGATTCCCTCCTTGTTCCCTGTTTAGTCAGGAAGCTCTGCTTGTGATTTTGCAGTTCAGGAACTCCACTGACACCAGCAGGCATGTCAATGGGGGGAGGGATTTTGGGAGGAAGATGAAAGATCCAATATAAATTCTCCAGGGAACAAGTGCTTTGATAAAGAAAATGGGGACCTGTGGCTAGCAACCTGACTGAGGAGACACATTGCTTTCTTCATAGTCCTGAAAAGGAATCTCTTTTGGATTAAACGAGGTTCAGTAACTACAGCTCAAGGACCAAATCCAGCAAAATTGTGCTTGTGAATAAAGTTTTATTAGCACATTGTCATATCCATTCATTTTTATATGGTCTCTGTCTATGTTTGTGCTTTCATAAAGAGCATGGTAGCTGGGATAGAGACCATGTATTCTGCAAAGTGGAAAATATTTACCATCTGACACTTTTACCAAAGAAGATACTGACCCCTGGATTAGAGACTTAAATATTTTACCATACTTATAATTCCAACTATTGGAAAGGCTGAGGCCAAAAGGACTGGAACTTCAAAGCCAGTCTTGGTAATAAATTAAAACTAAATTTAAAAAGAATTAAGGAAGAATGTGGGTGCAGCTCAGTGGGAGCATGCCCAAGGCCCTGGCATCAATCCCCAGTATAGAAAGAAAGGAAAAAATTAAACATCTTAAGAAGCATAACTACAAAAGAGGAGGGAGAGAACAAACCCAGAATTGATAGTTCTTAGAATTTTGTAAAGAGATCATGTAATGGCGTTGGAGAGGTGGCTTAGTGATTAAAAGTCCTGGCTGCTCTTTGCTGCTCTTACAGAGGACCTGAGTTTGGTTCCCAGCACTCACTTAGAGGCTCGCAGCCATCTGGAACTCCAGTTCTAGGAGATTTGACACCATCTTTGGCTTCCTTTGGCATAAGCACAGACACATATGTAAACAAAACACATACACATAAAATAAAAAATGTTAATTAAAAAGAAGAGATTCTGTAAGCCTAGAATCCAAGTAAAATATCACAAAAGTGTTTATCTTATGGGTTGAAAAAAATCAAAAGGTAACGAATCAAGAGGTTAAAATGTTTTGCAGCAAATATTTCATACCATTATTTCCCTTGTATAAATTAGTTTCCTTGATTTAAACACACAGGAAAAACATTGAAAAACCCAGTAAATAAAGTTAAGACCAGGTATTATTTTACTAAAAAAAATAGTTTAGAAACATGTAGAAATGTTCCCCCTCAATGGTAATTAACTGAAGATAAAGCAAAGAAGATGTTTTCTGACCTAGATACCTACGGCAGCTTGTTTGACTGGAATACTTAAAGCTGGCAAGGCCGCAGTGAGTGAGCCCTTCTGGCACATTCAGAAGCCCTTCTGGAGAGCCACTTGGCAGGCTATACTGTTGTCTGGGTCCTCTCCTCAGGACAGCATGAGTGTTCTCTCCCGAGATGCTCAGAGAGCCGCATGCAAAAGAGTGAGACAAATCTGGCTGCCTAGATTTCCAAAAATAGCCAAATAATTAAGAGAATTACAATGTCTTGAGAGAATACTATTTTGCCATTAAAAATTGTAATTACTGAGGACTGCCCTGATACATCAGCGTGCCTGATAATAACTGTCAGATGAGTGAATGATCATTTGCAGTGTTTATGTCACAGTTCAAGTTGACTTTTTTGTGGTGAGTACTTTAACAAAGTAAACTATGTCCATTTTGAAAAAAAGCTCATTTGGGGGGATTATATTAATAAAGAAAATGCTTATTAAAGTAAAAAATAGATCACACAATTGAGCTCATGGTTTAACTACAGTAATGTGAAAATACATAGTTCATGCAAAGAGAAGAGAGCAGAAGGAAGTCCAATAGAATGGAAAACTGGATTGTACTTTGGTGGTAGAATGAGGTGGAGAGGAGCTTTCTACATCTTAGATTTTTTGTGTTTTATTTTTTAATAGTTAAAAGGAGTATGTCTGTAAA